ATGGGGACGTACAGTAGGATGCAGCACAGGACCTCCCCTTCCAAGACTGGGGGTCTCAAAACCCTTGAACATTAGAGGTAATTGCAGAACCACCAGGAACTGTGCTAGAAGATGAATATAAAAGCAATCCTTGTGCTGATACACTGAATAGAATCTCTGATACAAAGAATAGAATCTCCCTTTTTTTTTCAGAATTACCTGTTTTAGTGAAGTAAACACACTGTGACAAGTGCATAATTTAATTATCTACAAAAATAATGAGGCAAAACAATAGTTTGCAGAAATAAATTACTAATCTCTGATTAAAACACCTGTCCTTTTATACATAGAAGAGAGCTACTGTATCTTTTAAAAGGAAACAGACAAGTAAGGAAGTGGCACATGTGGCCAGATAACCCGGCATTTTGCAACAAGAAGGAAGTTGACATATGGGCACTGAAATATAACAACATCTGAATTTAGAAAGAGCTCTGAAAGAGACTTTTGTCACTACCAAAGTACAAAAGAAAAAACAATGAGGGGGATGGGGGAGCGGGTACCCGAAGGCATTTCCCGGACAGGAGGAATTGGCAGCGAAGCGCCGTCTCAGGAGCAGTGTGAGAAGCAAACGCTTCCCACGCCCCTGCCCAGGGAGGCGGCACCTGCCCCCGCAGGGAGCCCCAGCCTGCAGCAGGAAAAGCAGCTCGCTTTCCTTCCCAGGAACCCACTGGCTTTGATATTTTTCCAGACCATTAGCATCAGTTTCCAGCCTCTCTGCTGCCTCCAGAGAGCGGGACTAGAAACCTGCCAAACGCCGCCGCAGCGCCTGCAGGAGCAGCCCATCCTCCTGAGCAGCCCAGCTCAGCCCCACTCGTGCCACAGCCAGGGCCTGGCTCACCTGGCTCACCTGGCCCACCTGGCCCCCGCTGGGCTGCCCAGGCTGAGACCCTCTGCCCCTGCCCTGGGCTCTGCCCTGCGCTTCCTGTGGGAACGCTCACCTCTGAGAGCCAGCAGTGGAACCTGCACCGGAGCCTCTGCTCACTAATGCTCCCCTCTCCAAACTCTCAGACCACACTTTGCTCTGACCTTTCACACAAAGTGCCTGAAAGAGGGCAATAAATATTTAAATATCATAAAAAACTACTTCTATATAAATATAATAAATACCCATTTAAGTAAATATTTACCTCCCTAAGGTAATAAATACTGGTGTGTGACTCCAAAATAAACAAGCCAGAGCTGTGGAGAAACTGGCACTGTAAGAGCTGCCCAGGGAAACCTCCTCCTTGGCGGCATGCTGGCACACACACTGCAGCCAACACTGTGCTGGCAGCCGGCCGCGCTTCCCTTCCCTGCTCAGCACGGCTTCTCACAGGAAAACACCTCACACAGGAACTTGAGATGTATCAATGAAGGGTTTAAAGACCACAAAACAGCACCTTTAAGGTAGCAAATACATGCAAAGGCATCTCAGCCTCAAATGACTGCTGGAAAACCCATGGCTCCTCAGCAAAACAAACAGCCAGTGCTGCGGTCTCGGTCACAGCACGGGCGTTCCTTTATCGGAAGATAAAGCGTGCTGTCTTTTTTGGGATCTGACATCTAAGCTCCAACCCATGGCTTAGACACGGCTTCTCTCCTCTTAAAGAGAATGAAAACCTTCACCTGCAGCTCAGCAAGGTCCTGAACTGAACTGAGAATGCTCCGGGTAGTGAGAGATGCTGCACTTCTGGATCCTGCTTTATTTCTAAGGATTAACATGACTCGAGCATGGATGCCCAAACTTATGGATGACATATTAGTACATCCAGGTAACATAATTTCTTAAGGTACTTACACAATTTTGACAACACAATTTCTATCCTAATCAGAGAACAGGCCGAGAGAGGGGGCGAGATTGTTCTGGAGTCAAATTACACAAACTTGTCTGCTGCTGCCCCAAAACACATCTATCTGTAATACAATGCTGAAGATGGCTACAGGGAAATTTCAGGGGAAAAGAAAAGACTATCCTGTTCAGCAGAATGCACAGATCACCGGCAGCAAGGGCTGGAATTCACTGCTTGGTAACTTCAGAGTGCTGCTGTGGTGTTAGACCCCATCCAATTAAGTGAGGCCTGCAGAATATTTACATTCCTACATCTCTTGGTTCCTGAAAGGGTTAAAGCTTATTATTAGCATATAATTTACAGGTCCCTTCTCCCAGGAAAGAAATAATGCACGGTAAATGCCACATTCGTTTTAATAATACATGTTACAGTCTGTGCCCAACATCTGCACAAAGGTAGAGCAGACAGATTTTTTTGACATGTCCCACTCTGCCATTGAAACACAGGCTTTTTGTTTTGTAAGTGATGGAAGGTTTAATCAAGAAAGCAGGCAATTCATCAATCGAAACAAGGCTGCTCACACTGCCCTGACAGCACACACATGGTTTTATACAGAAGAAACCTGGCCACCTGTCAGCAGCACCTTTTACATCAGGATATACAAATACACTGGGTGATCAATCCTCCAGCTCTTCCCATTCATTTCTTCATTTTCTTATTGTATTTTTCTTTATGCTAGATGTTGCCCTCATTCTCTGCAGGAATAGATGGGAGACAAGGCAGGCTATGGCTGTTTATACACTATCATAAAAATTTATATACCCTTAGAGTGACTTATTTCCCTTCTATTTGAGTACCATTATTATAAATAATTTTTCACTTCATTGAGGAATTTTCCCTGTATGTTATTATCTGTGCCTGCCTGCGAGGGCTGCCTCTCCCTCACTGTGCTTGTGCCTCTGATAAGCCAAAGCAATATGCTGGCAGAAGATGCTCAAGTCTGAAATGAAGGCAGTATGTAGTCACAACAACATCTTAATTAAACTGAAGGCCATGAGGAAAGACTGTGCTGTGAAATACTGAGCCATGTCTGTCAACAGGTCTGTCTGCAGCAAGGCATTCCTCTTCCAGCAGCTGCCTGCCCCAGCATGCACATTAAACCTGGCAGCTCCTCAGCATCCTGCTCCCAGCAGCACCCACAGACGTTCTGCACATCACAAACCCTAATTCTGCCTTTGGTCTGGGTGCATGGCACGGGGAGGGACGAGGGAGGCTGCTGGGCACGAGGATGGTGCCAGCAGTGCCAGTGCTGCACTGCCGTGGGTCGTGACAGGCTCTGGGCACTGCTTCCCTATCTGCACCCTGCCAGGGACTCACTTAGGAGTATATGCCAAAAGAAGTCTCCTTAACCTTCAGGTCACCAGTGTGTCATGGCCAAGACTGGCAAGGACAAAAGAATGGTTAAAAATTGTAATTACTGCTTTCAGGACCATTTTTCCATTGAGTCCAGTTTTGTGCAAACAACAATTGCATTACACAGCCCAAGGGGTAATGGGCAGTTCCAGTGAGGATACAGTCATCCTGCCAAAATATATTTGAGATACAAAGTAGAATCGACAGCCAAAATTCATTTTATCTTCCCCAAACATGCTGAACCACAGCTGGAAGTGTTGTTTTCATCAAGTACTGAGGAAATCTTGGATGTCTATAGAGAGCAAAGAGAGACCAAGCTGCAGCTCTTCATCCTACCCCCATGCCAGCCCTCCCTTCCCAAGCAGCCCCTCCTGTGCCCACGGCACACTGAGGCCATACTGAAAGGGGAAGAGACTGCTCCTAACGGTTTTTGTTTTCCTCAGCAGCCCCAAGAGCCCCTCCTCTGAGCCGGGAGCCCAGAGAGTGAGCTGTGCCCACAGGGCTGTGCCCAGGCAGAGGCAGCCTGTGTGTGCTGAGGCCCAGCTCCACTCACCCAGCACACACCCTGCAGCACCAGCTCGGCGCGGGGAGCCCTGGCAGCAGCCCAGGCGTGGCAGCCGGCTCCTAAATCTCCTGTTGCCATGGCACTGCAGCAGCACTGCAGATAGCCCAGACGGAACAGGAAACTCGGGAATGGCTTCCAGAGCATGTCTGGGGACCAGTCCACCCCGCGAGGTTTGAGCACACAAAGAGAGCTGTCGCGGCACCTCGCTGCAGCTGCTGACAAGGCAGCCGTGGGCAGGAGCCGTGCACCAAAATCCTGTCAGAGCACAGCATGTGTCAAATGACAAGACCCTTTCTCTGGAAAGAACTCACAGCTGTAATAGCCATTACAACACACACACAACTCATAACAGTGTTTCTGGAGGAGAATGTGCCGTTGGAGGAAAAATAAAGAGTTATACTTGAAAATGTGCTCAAGTAAACATGAAGAACTAATGCTCTGTCCAGTTCTACAAGGCCTTGTTTTGTGCTTTGCCTGTAAGGATCTGGTAAAGTGTTCAGGCTCTCCGTACAGCAGGCACCTCCTCAGGCTGCCCCACAAGCAGAGGCCACACATCCTGCAGCAAGGGCAGCCCCACCAACACCACACAGAGCTGCTGCAGTTGGTGCTTTCCCAGAGAGAAAGCACAGCTTCCCGTCCCCATGCAGAACTGCCTCCTGTGAACACAGGAATACACCTTCCCTCACATTTCCAAATGTATTAGGGCAGGAGAGTAACAAGAAAAACGAGGACTGACAAGGATTATGCAATTCTTACATTCTATCTCTTTGGGAACCTGAAGCTGCAGTTTCAGGCAGAGACTACCTTTTAAATAACCCTTTGATTATGGTACATGAATTAATGCCATGTTCCCATGTTGCAAGTGTCACTCACTATTAATCAGAGGGACCTGTGAATGGTACATTTTTGCCATCTTCTCTTCCCTGATTATGCACAAGGAGCTTCAACTGCACAGCCCACTGAACCAACTGCTGAATTTCCAAACTGTCCTAAAATCTCCTTCAGCCAGATGATGGGACTAGACTTTCATCAGGCTTTGACAGAGTCAGGTTTAAATCCAGTATCTTTCTCCTCTTGCAAAAACAACATAACAGAGCAAACCCTGTGCTAAGCGTGATTCCACCATGGCTATGACAATATTTGCTCAGGTGCAATAGCGCTACAGCAAGCCCTCCGAGAGCCCTGCAGGGGCCCGGCAGGGTGGGCGAGCTCACCTGAGATGGCGTACAGGTTGGAGTGCTGGTGCTCCAGGTCCAGGCGGCTGCTGTGGCTCTTGCCCCGAAAGCTGGCCGGCAGCGTCAGCGAGATGTGCCTGGGGGAGGGAGGACAGGGGAACACGGTTACACAGAGCAAGGGAGGACAGGCAGACACGGTTACACAGAGCAAGGGAGGACAGGCGGACACGGTTACACAGAGCAAGGGAGGACAGGCAGACGCGGTTACACAGAGCAAGGGAGGACAGGCAAACGCAGTTACACACAGCACAGGACGCTGCTCCTGTCAGCTCCAGCCCCACAGCTCCAGGCAGGCGAAGCAGCAAACATCAGTTTTAATACTGCTTCCAAAACTGCCTGCCAGCTGTTCAGTGTCAGCCCCTCCAGCCCTTGGGCCCTGCGCTCGGCCAACAACCCAGGGCTGCAGCAGCGTCCATCCCTCCCCTGCAGGGCATTGAGCCCAGGGCAGGCAGAGCCAGCACCCACAAACAGCCAGCACAGCTCTGCCCCTTCACCTTAACCTGCATTCCTCCAATGCAGAGCCCCAGTCTGTGACAATTCTAATTAAATGTTATCATTAACCTTCCGGACCGCACTGCCACACGTAAAAAAGTCACTCCCTCTTCACAGAGGGCTCAGTGCAGGCAGAGGAGCAGCTCCTGCCTCAGCTGAGCGAGAGCTCCTGCCCCGGGCAGACAGCGAGCACTGCCAGCAGAGCCAGGCAGCCCTTGTGTCCCCTTGTGTCCCCTTGTGTCCCCTTGTGTCCCCTGGGTGTGCGAGACAGGGCCCTGCATTCTCCAGCAGCGCACCAAACCCACGTCCTCAGCCAGCAGATTTTATCTACCACACCAGCCATCTGGAACTTATCTGCCTTCAAAAACAGGACATGTTTGGGGAAGAACAATATATTTTTAGCCCTTGATGCAGATGATGGTGAACAGTACAGATAAAATAAGAAAAGGCAAGCATCAGTCTGAGTTTGCTTGTGCTTTCCAAAGCTATTTTTAACCAAAAAAAGATGGTGTGAAAATATATTTGAATTTGGCTATCAGTTTGCTGTTTAAAACACAATCCACATGAGAGTCTCTGGAGCAGAGGCATGTGTGTTATGAACACACTTTAAAACAGGAGACCACTGCCTGTGGGCATGACATGCTTCTCATTCAATTTATAATAGAAGTATTCAAAAATATTTTCCAAGGCACCAAAGGCAGCCAGTAGAAAGACTCAGTTTCTCTGTCCTCTATGGAGAACTGCTTTCTTCTCAGCAGAAATAGTTCTGGAGCTAAATAAACCAGATCAACTTAAAAAGTGCATTTCTAAGGAGAGTATTTTTAAAAAGTTTGTGCCAACTTGTGCTGTAGGGGAGGCTGGCCCTGCAGGGTGGGCACGTGCCAGGTGTGCCATGAGGATGGATGGCTCCCGCACGAGGCCCTGAGCGCACACCAGCACTGGGCAGCGCTCCCACCCTGCCTGCGGTGTCTGCACTGTGCTGTAATGAGGTGTCTGGAAATGACGGCCTGCCTGCCTGCCCGGGGGCCATCTGCTATCCCTGAGCTAGGACAACTGGGCATTCCATTACTCTGCTGCCCCAGACAGCCACAGAGATGTCTCCAAAAAGAACATTAGCTGCACAAGGCAGGGCAGTGACTGCTGGACGGAAATCAGCTCTCTCCTTCTCTCTTTCTTTTTATAAAAGATGACATTGTAGGGAGGAATGGGAAACAAAGCCTAATTTATTTTAAATTATTGTAAACTTTGGCCAGGATCAATATAGCTTATACCTACCAACTTGATTGCATAATGCATTTTCCTTATGTGTTGTGAGAGCCAAATCATTTTGCATTGTAGAAGACAAAAAAAAAAAGAGGCTGCCATAGAAAAGCAAGAAAATCCCAATTACAAAGTCCCCAAGTTCCTAAACACATATCGTGAAAGTATGTGCAGTTCTGTGGCATATGGCAAATCAATTACTACTTTAAATTTTAAAACAAAAACATGGTAAATGTGTTGCACAAATAATCAAGAACAACGGTTTGGTTTAGATTACAGCGGCCACTAGAGTTTTGAATACAATTAATCATCATTCCAGGCACCAGGAAGCCATATTGACACTTATTCCTAATTTGAATATTTAATTAGGGTGAAGTTCTTCATCAAATTATCACAGAACTGGGAGGAAAGCCTAAAAGATTTAAACAATTACTACTTTAACCCTTGCCCAACTGCACACCTGTGAGCACAACAATCTCTTTCTGTTCTGCAAAGCTGGAATACGATCAGGCAACGTGACATGTAAAATGGACTACAAATATCCTGGGAAAGGGGAACAGACACCCAGCACCCAAAGGGCCTCTCTGGACAGGCCAGGCTGGCACAGGCTTGTGCTTCTGACTGCTTGTGCTCCTTGACCTTTACCAGGGCAAAGCTTTTGGGCTGTATCTCTATTTCAGCATCAAGTGTGCTCCTTCCAGGGCTTTTTTGGTTTGGGGCTTGTTGCTGGTTTGGCTGTTTTTAAATGAAAAGCCTGTCCAGAACCATCCAGCAGGTCTTGCTGCCCACAGCTGACCTGGCACAGTCACCTGCTCCTGCCTGGAGGTTTCACCTGCACCAGGAGCTCCTGGGCTGGGGCTGCACCCCAGGGCTGCTCCGGACCTGCTGTACCTCCCTCTGCACAGCCCTGCCTCCAATCGCTCACACACCCCTTTGTGTGCTGCATTAATCCATATAAGAAAATCCCTTTTAATGAGGAGTGATATACTTATGAACTCTCTAGAGTCATAATTAGAGCAAACTAATTGAAGTTGTGTTTTGACACACTTTCCAAATTCACGGGTACTGCATGACATATTCACAGCACCAGTGCTGCACACCGTGGTGACAGCAAAATCATTAGGCTAATAACACTTATTTGCATTCCGATCATGCCAGCAGCGGCCGTTAAATGCTGCCTCAACCAGCACGCGTTTACTCAGAAAGTTTCCACTGAAAGATATTAACAGTAATTATTAGTACTTTAGTGGATCTCTGATGTTAAGGAATGGCAACTCACAGAGACTATCCCCGTGCCAATTATCTGCCTGGTGAAGTGTCACCAGAGCAGCTTTGCTGCTCCCAAAGATGAGCAGCGCCGCGGGTTGGTGTTTGCTGCAGTGGGAGCATGGATGGTCCTGCCAAGGCCAGGCCAGGGCTCCAGCCAAACCCTGCTGCTCCAGCACTGCTCCAATACCAAACACATTTCTCCCCAGCATACCATCATTTCAAGACCATTTGGAGCAAGTTTAATCACCCTCTTCAGTTGCTCTTTTATTCAGCAAATCCACAGAACAAGTCAGCATGTGATGAGGAGATCCCTCACGTGCAGGCTAAGGGGATTTGAGGTCTGTGCACATTATGGCCACTTTTTGAACATTTTTGGAGAAAAACTCACATAAAACAGGCCCAGGAATGCCTGACAGTTCCAAACCTAGTATTAAGAACTGTCTGCAGGAAGGTGATGAACTGCTTTTGAAGCGAGGGGGCAAGTACTCATAAAACAGAACAGAGGATCACAAGGGGAAGTGCCAGATATCAAAGGATGCTTCATAATTCATATAAAAATATCAACAATGTACAGCAAAAGCCCAATGGAAAGTTGGGCTCTGGACCCAGCAGTGACAGACTGGGTGGTACAAGTGTGACACCCAGAGCAGCATCTGAAATCAGGCAGCAAAGTTTGATTTTTTCACAACAACCTTCAGAACAGTGCTGCAAGACTTCATGGGAATACTTTTCAAAAAAACCCAGAAAGACTACCTTACTTTCCATAAACAATGATCAAGCAAAGATCATTCCCCATGAAAAACAGAGAATGGAACAATTAAATTTCAAGCTGTAGAAAGCTGAAAACACAGCTAACATGAGTTAATATCAGGCTGCAGCTCTCAAGAAATGCAATCCAACATGGAAGCTTTGCTTATGGAGACTGCAGAAGGCACATTTCTGAGAAAGAAGCTGCTGGGGTTCTGTGAACTGGCACCAGGGGCCTTGGCAATGAGCTCCTCTAGCAGGAGGCATCTGCAGCCTGTACCTGTGCCTGAAACACAGCAGGTACCTGTGCTTCCAGCAGCGGCTACATCCCAGCTACAGCCTTTCTTCACAGCCCTTCACTTTGACTGTGCTGGGGCACTGAGATGCCAGAACACCTACCTCATACTCCAAAGAACTGCAATGAAAACCTAAACTGCGAGGCAAGAATCACCTCGGGTAATGGACTTCATTCCAGACAATCTATTCTAATCGTGTAAACCAAATATTTAAATACTTTTTAAAACCTTCCTGACCCTTTCCCTAAAACAAGCAACATATGGGCTTTGCAAGCATTTCATCTCATTCCAAGCTACTAAAATATCCTGTTTCCTAAGAGTCAATGAGAACTGGGGTGCCAGATTCAGATTTTATAAAAGCCCAATGGCAGGAGAGAATGAAAAAGCGAGTGAGCGATTCTTTCCACATTGAGCTCTCCCCGCTCAGCTTTCCCAGATGCACAGGGGAGGAGGGCCCAGCCCTGGCAGCCCCTCCCCAGGTGCCTGCGCCCCCCGGGACGGGCGCTGAGCCCCCTCCCCACAGGAGCTGCCTGAGCGCACAGCGATGCTCACCAGGGCACCAAAGGCCTACGCAGAATGAAGCTCCTGCAGCCTCCTCTACATGGGGATTAATTCAGATCAGAGGAATTGAGTAACTAGGACAGAGCAGCTGCCAAACAATAGGAAAAACCCCAACAAGTTTAATTTACGCCGCTTGGAAGTGTGAGCTGCAGCCCATTAAATCCTTGCAGGCAGAGGCTGCATCAAAGAGCTGAGCCCTGGCAGTGCAGCATGAAGTGCTTATGGAGTGGCTGTCTCAGCCGAGCAGCGCCGTGTCTCGGGAGGCTGCGGCGGCTTCCACATCCTTCAGAGCCGCTCTCCAGAGCCACGAGTTTTCATAATGAAGCAGTAGGGAAAAATTGCCAAACAGCAGAAATACTCCAGAAAGATAAATTACACACGGTGTAAGCTTCCTGGGTTAGGATTTTAAATGCTGCCCAATTAATCAGCGCAGCCCAGGCTCCCAGGCCAGATGCAGAGCCCCTCTGAGGACGAGCCCCTGGCTGGGGCGGCGGGGGCTGCCCAGGCAGACCCCAATGCCCTGCAGGGCTGCAGGCACAGCCCGGCCTCAGGGACATCCACAGCTCCCCTGCAAAACCTGTTAAACAAATATGCCACATAAAGACTCATTTGGGAAGAGCACATTGTCAGCACTTTGCCAGTAATAAATAATGACAGTCCAAACACTTTACTAAAAGCAATAAACTCAAGAAGTGTTTTGGAAAATGGTGAAAGTGATTGATTTAAAGGAAATATCTGAACACAACCACATGCATTTCAGGGTGAAAGCACAGATTACAAATCAGCAGTGGCAGAGATCATATTAAATAGCAGACAACACACAAGTTTTAGGGGAAAAAAGCTCAGTTTCCCTGCAGGGCTTATTTAACAACCCAGAGCACAGCTTCTCCAAATGGATACCTCCGGTTTGGACTTAACAGCCCGATGCTATGCCCCAAAGAAAACATGCCTCCAGAAATACTGCTATAGCAGGAAGAGGGCTCTCTATAAAGAAAAATGACTAAGATTGAAGCCTCTTCACTCAGAGCACTCCACAAATTTTTCAATGCATTCTCAAAATCGGCCAAATCCATCAGGCTCCTTCTAATTACAGTTCATGGCTTTCCTTCTCAGCTGCTGCAAGGGACTCTTGTGCCTGGAAACCAACTGTTTAAACATTTTTTCCTAATCATCATTTTCTACCACTAAAACATACTGGCCTGTGACCAATTTTTGCACGTCTTCATCCAGCTGAGCTGGACACAAGCCACACGGTCAGTGCTGTTTCATAACAAACCCTTTATGGGAACCAGACTCTGGAGAAACACGTGCCAGCCCCCTCACCCACCCAAACCATCATGTTCAGATCTGCACAGCCTATACACAGCATGGGCATTTCACCCTTACACTTTGTTCCTCACCATCCTCACCATGGGGGATCCATGGAAACACCCCCTCCAGGCTCCAACTTGCTGTTTGAGACTCACAGCACTGTCAATCCATCGCTGCTGAGATGTGACCTCAGCCCTTATGACATCCTCGGCTTCTGGTGAGTACGTAATTTAAAAACTAGGAATATTGCACTGTGTTTCATGACACAAGTGATTTGAGCATTCAAGCCACATAATATTTTCAAAATATAATAATGAATAACTACTTTTTTTATTTGATCTTACAGGTATTTTGCAATGCAAATGATTTCACAATTAGTTGCTAGTCAGGAGGTGGTTTTAAGGGGATTTAAGGCAGACCCCCACTGCTCTGTGGAGGCATTCTGGCCCTCACATCACCAGCAGTGGCTGCCCCTGTGCAATGGCAGCTTTCTCAGGATTTGGCCTTTCTCTACAACAGAGCAGAACAGCACTGAAGCCCTGGAACCTTTTCCCTTACAGATGCTTCATAAAAATCTGTTTTAAATGACTTAAATAAATTATTATAGCTATTTCTAAATAATAGGGTAGCTACTAAAAATAGGAAAGGCAGAAGGCTTCCCTTCCATTACCACACTGCAGAGTCAGGCTGGTGCATCCCAGCCCCAGCTTGGGTCTCCACACTGCCTTGTTGGTGCTGCTTTATGACCTGCCTCGATTGCACATCATCAGCCTGCAGCAGAAAGCCACAGACTGATCCCTTCCCAAGCTTACACCACCAATTTCAAACCCTGTTAATAAATCAGTTTGAAGAATCAGACTTCTCTGCCTAGCAAAGAAATTCCTGCATTCCTCAACATGAAACTCCACTGGGAGCAGAGAACAGGAACAAATTGTTTCCTTTTCCTAAGGAGGGGCCAGCTTAACTAGTGAAAAGGTAACTGAGAGCTCGGAAGGAGAATTCAGACATCTTGCTCTTATTCCGGGTGTTAAGGTAGAGCAATTGCTATCTGTGCACCAAAGCCAGTGAAGCAGCTTGGTGACCTGCACAATGGCATGGCCACCCTCACCAGGACTGCCAGGGCTGCTGTTGGAGGCCACCCAGCCAGATGCCTGTAGAAGAAAACACGAAGGAGAAGAAATGGCTGAAAAACCCCATGTGAAGGCCAGCACTACTATCAAACAAAGCCTCCCCTTGTGCAGCCCTGACTGTGAGCCATAAGCCTGTGACATGCAGAAGCAGCACTGCTGTGTGCACCAAGCTGTGGAGCTCACACCTCTGGTACATGACAACTCTGCAACGGCCACATCCACTGCCATCAGCACCTTACGCCACAGAGCAGAGGGGCTAGTGCAGAAAAAGTATACCCCAAAGGAAAAAGTCCTTCCATTTGAGGTTTAGCTGTACATAGGGGTTTAGTTTATAAGCAGCGTTAGCAACTGTTCTGAAGCCCCCTCTTGATTCAGAATTATTCTAAATGCAGGCACAACTGAAGAGAGCAGCTGAGATACCTGCCCAGCCCAACAGCAGACTCTCCACAGTGCTCCATGCAGCACTGCCCACCAATCCTTCCTCACTACTGAGGCAGCTTCGGAACAACCCACTGCTATTCCTGCCAGGATATATCCACATGGAATAAAACAGCAAACTGACTGCCACTGTAATCTCCTCTCTCTGTGGTGACATGAAAATAAGAGATCACTTGTGACTTCAATCTTTCACAAACACTGTGTTGAGTAACTCACCACATCGCTGACAGTGTTAAAAAAGGCCTTCAAGTTGTCTGTGTTCCCTGTAATAATTAAATATTTGCAGGATGCACCTTTATATACATTTCTATTTCTTAAAAAATATATTGGATAATAAATAACCAAAGTAAAAAAACAGACATGAAAGATGCTTTGAATGATCAGGCTGGTGGTGTAAAAGTTACCTGTAAATCACACATGGGGTGTGAGAGTGGAGCTGGCTACAGACAGGTGGGTTTTACTACAAGGCATTAATGTAACATTCAATTATTCCACTGCATACTGGCTGGTTTAACTCAGCCAAATTAGAATACATTTTATATTGACTATTTTGACATTTGCTTTATTTGGCAAGTAAAACAAAACTGATCCAATTTCCTTGCAGCCATTGTAAACCATAAACTGCACAACAAGAGGTTATAAAATATATAAGCCTTGTAAACACTTCTTTTCAGACTGTCACTGATGCTTTGAGCTCTAATTTTGGCCCTGTTCCCAACAGCTCTGACACTGCTCTGCAGCCTTCCCTGGTCAGCTATAAAGTGACCCTTCCACATTCATTGATTAAGCATTGCCATTGACATTCTCTTGCTATGGTAATTTTTTTTTCTTTATTGTGGAAATTTGCCCAGACAGAAGTTCTTGCAGAAGGAAAATGAAGATCTGTGCTCTAAAATCAAGACATCTTTCTCTCTGATCTCCCATGGCCTGGGCTGGCACCTAGCCTATGTCCAGCAGAGCTTCACAATAACATCTCAGGTCCTAGTGGGACAGGCTGGAATCTCCAGAAAACTGCTGGCTTTTCATCTCTTTTGCCTCATCTCTGAGAAGCATGACAGCACGTCTGCCTGCAGCACACCTGAGAGTACGCGACAGCAAGCGCTGTGCCAGGGCATGGCAGCTTACCAAGCAAAACTCCCCGTGAAAGGAACACCCAAATGCTTTGGAGAGCTCAAAGAGCCACCAAAGGACGTGGATTTCAGTCTGGGTCATGGATGAATGTACACCTCAAACGTACACACCTTAAGGAGGTACCTGATAGCTTTCTGGGGAACACGTTGCAGCAGTTTACAAGTGTACCTCTGAAATGACCTGTAAATCAAGGCTCTAAAGGACACAAGCAATTTCCACCCATGTGATATAATGACCTTTGTACACAAACTGGGCCTTGGAATTCCCCTCTGCTGTCTCCTTCGAAATTCCAGCTCTCACTAGTTACTGTAATACTGTAAAGGTATCCGCAGTGTAGAAAATGCCTGTACACATAACAGGCAAAAGCACACAGGGACCCAAGGAGAGTGTGCTGTCCCCTGGCAACAGCCTGGCCCAGGCTATGAGCCTCAGCAGCAGGAGCACAGCTCACACTGGGCGCTGTGCTTTTGGAGTGAATGCCAGGAGTGCAAAGTTCTCAGTTTCGTCACTGTCTGGGCTGCTTTGCTGCTTAACAACACCTCTTTGTCCTGAGAAACCCAGCAAGTAAGCTGTCAGCACAGCACCACTGGTATATCAAAGTCTGCACACTAGCACATCTCTTGATACACACACAGAAATATTGCCTGTAACACAGGGAGAACAGCCTGGACAGACACACTGCCCAGCAGTGCTGCTCCCATCAGCCACCACGAGATGAGCAGGCTGCTGGGCACACTCATGGCAGCTGCATAACTGCAGCTCAGCAACTGGGTTCAAGAAAATAAAAAACCAAGAACCAGTACTTCAAACCATGAACAGACTGATCCTGGAGGTGAGCAAAACCCGGTTCCCTTCTGAAGTCTGCAGAGACACTTCTCCTTCCCTCCGGTTAAGGAGAACAATCAGCCTGGCTGCAGCTCTGGCTCACCCTTTCAACATGTATGTGTTGGAAGCCACAACATCCTGCATAGTTTAAAGCAAAGGAAAGGTACAGTTTGCTACTTCCCTTCCTTCGCAGGCATTTCCTTTCTTCTGGCTTCTTCACCCATTTTTCTTTACACAACAACAGGCAAATACTTCAACCAACAGCACACTGCCTTATCAGACTGTGACACAACCATTCCGTGCCGGTGCAGCAGCCCGGTCCTGGCTTCCCAGGCAAGGTGAGTAACCACAAGACATGCAGCATCAGGCAGGAGGAGCTGGAATGCAGCAGACCTACCTTGGCAGGCTGGGAGCGGGCGCTGGGGCGGGCGCTTGGGCGGGAGGCGCCGCAGGCTGCGCCGAGTCGTGGTTGCGCGGCACTCTGCCCATGCGGTACCAGATACCCATGCTGTTCAGCTCCCTGGGAAACCAACACAGCGCCTGTGCTGATGCTGCACGCACGCACCAGCACCAGGCACTGGCGTGCCTCACCAACGCCTTGGTCAGTGAGAACAAGGGTAATTAAAAAAAGGGAGGGGTGAGTTAACTCCTACATCAAACTCAGTAACACTTGTACTTACTTGGACTTTTCTAATGATAAGCTTCACCTCTTAGAAGCTACTACTTGCTAATTACAGGAGCACAAGGCCCTTGCTTTGGTATAACTGCACTCCTGACAACAGCTTAGGAGTGAGGGGTACTCACCCAATGAACGTGTACTGAGGAGGGGCTTGCTTGGACCTCCCCAGGATTCGGATATCGCAGATCGCTGCCTCTGTAGAATCCCGAGGGATGAATTTAATGCACAGCCTCTTCTTTCTGAAAGCTACTTCTTCTGCAAAAATAACCCAGGATACAGGGTGGTTTTATGCAAGATTAGAGTATAAATGTTATTTATAGTCTCTCCAGGTATTAGGCAGGTAATTACGGCAGAACTGGTGCCAAAGAACAGACATATGTCAACAAACCAGTCAGTGCAGTGCCATTCAGAGGGGAATGTTCTATCAGATGTGCTCTTGGCACTGCAATAACCAGATCTCCTGCCTGCTGCAGAGATCAGCTCCCACGTGTGCCTGGCGCTGCCCCACAGCACAGAACAGCAGGTGACTCTGCCAGTTCCGCATGCCTTGCACTCCCTTGCTCTTTCCCAGGTAATGTTTGCCTCACTGGCCTGGACAGCCATATCTAAACATTCCTGCCGCAAGCACTGCCTCTAGAATGTACCTGGAAGCTTCTGATACAACCAGGCAGCTCATTCTGCTACGTGCTTCCAACCAGCCACTTCCACCCCGCTCTGAGGAGGAGCAGGCAGAGCCTGCCATACACAGAGCTGCCTGTCCAAATCTCACACATCCCAAGCGTTAGTGACATCTCCTGATCACTCAGCAGGCACAGAAATGATACTCCCACATGTTTGCCCTGGTTCTTTGCAAGGACAGAGCAGATTCACAAAGCACTAAGTGCCAGAACCTCCCACGAGGCAGCTGTGCTGCTCTGGCCTGTGTCTGAGGGTGGATGAATGCACTGCACAGCCCTTTCTGCTACGTGTCACAGAGCAATTGTTTCCATGTTATCCATCACGGAGAACTCGAGCCCATCAGAGTTAGGGCTTATCTGTGTCATGAATTCACAGCTCTTCAGGCTGTTTACCAGCACGCAGACACAATCCACAGCCCGAGCTGGTGCTGTCTGTGACCATGGCTGGCACTGGCACACAGACACAGATCTGCAAGCCTGGAAAACAGTGCTCCATCTCACCCTAAGGAGTCTCGGGGTGAGCAAGGTGAGCTTCCTGTTTGGATGCAGGCACTTGGAAAGTAGGACAGAAGTTTACTGATATACTGAAAATCTAAAGAGCAGACGCTGAATGAAAATCTGGAAAAAAACAGCAACTACAAACAAGTGCCTGCAAAATAAAAACCCTTCATCTTAATGTGAACAAATATCTCCCAACTTAAAGTATGCTGTCACTTCAACAGATGGCAAGCAGCCCTGTCTCCATAGGCTCCTCCTGTTTCGTAATCCACACCTTGGGAACCAGCAATCCATTCCAGCCTCTGAAATGTGCTGCTGCACTAGCACAAATAAGCATACAGTGTGAGGTGTGCCAATAGAGCATCTGTGCATGCAGCTTGCAGTTACAGTGGCGCTTTTAGAGATGGTAAATACCTGCATCCCTAAAGTCTAGTCTTCCCCTGCTTTGAAAAAGTAGAGCTTCTGTTAGAAGTGCCTAAAACTCATTTTAGGAGTCTAGGATTTAAGGCTTCCTGAAAATCTGCTCAAGACCTAACAAAGAGTAATGTATTAAATGTATTAACTGCAAGTCAGCTTGGCCATTTTGAAAGGAGCACAGAGACACCTGTAACCATAAATCTAACTCTGAACAAAATCAGTGCCTCTTATTTGACTCTCTCTGCAGGTACAAAGCTGACTACTTGCTTCTGTCTGTGTTCTCTTTCACACACTTCCTCAGTACAGGCAGTGCCTCTGCTTTAAAGACTGTCACAGTCACAACACAATGCAGTTCAAACTAATGGCAAAGCCCCCTTCCTCCTTTCCAGCAGGACTTTCACAGAAGTTGAGGCAGCACACAGTAAGGTTCAGCACTCCCAGGGGTCAGCAGGATAAGCAACAATTCTACCTCACACCACACATGCCCAAGAATTTTCCAGGAGCAGAGGGTGACCTGGGAGAATAATCTTCAGAGTCTTTCACTTCCAGGCCACAGGTTCCAATCAGAACCAGACCACAGTGACTGAAAACCATCCTCATGCGCTGCAGCCCCAGATGCATGATTCCCTGCAAAGTATGCAACTCCTTTCTGCTCACTGCTGGGCTGGACTCCAGCGCCGAGGCGCACTGGGACCAGCCCTCCTGTGAGGAGCAGCTGTGCACCAGCAGCACTCCCGCCATGCTCTCACGCTGCACTCCCGCAGGGCTGGTCCCCTGCCAGCCCAAGCCCTCGGTGCCTGCTGCACAGCACAGGCCTGCCACCAGACGGGCTCCAGCTGCTGCTGCCACAAGCCCCAGGGGAGCTGAACACGCTGCTTGGGAACTGCTCGCTTACATGTGGCAGCGAAGCAATGCTACCTTGCAGAAATGAGGATGATATTCCCCCTGGACACTGCACTTGTGCCTTGTGTCAGCCAGCACAAACACACCTGACACCCCTCAGCACTTGCAGGCAGGACAGGAGCCCTTGCTCTCCCACAGCAGGAGATGTACAGTGGGAGGGCACAAACCCACACCCCCTTCCTTTCAGTGCATTTCTGAACACTCCTTGACAGCAGCCCTGCTCCTGCTCGGCCCAGTCCACTCTTCAAACTGAAAAAAGAAATTCTGCCTTCCTGCCCCAGAGACATGGGACTCCAGCAGGTGAGTGAAGACAGACAGGCAGCCCCATTAAACAGCCTGAGGAGGACGAGAAAACCAAAGGCTGTTTCATTGCAGCCCAGAGCTGCCCCTCAATGTGCACACCAGAGCTGCCCCTCAATGTGCACATGCCACATGAGAGCAGGGGTGCTGGGAGCACCCCCCTGCCTGGGAACACTCTCCTCTGCCTGAGCACACAAGCACTGGCAGAGCGGGACTGAGGAACAGGTGCCAACTCACGTGTATCAATGGTCTCCTGGATGGGCATGAAGCCTACGGGTAAGGTGTCCTTGATATCAATGAGCTTCATGTCGACCAAGACGTTGCCTAAATGACTCTTTGGAGAGAGAAAAGAAACAATTGATTATGACAATGTCACCAAATTAAACCCCAGATCTTCCCACCTGCTGAAGCCTGAGATGCCTTGTCATTGTATCTGACCACAGCTTTAGAAATGGTAGGAACATTCCAAGGCAACCCTTGCACGTGTCCTCTTGGCAGGAACCAAACAATGACTGACTAGGAAATACCAGACAACTTTCAGCATTCAAAATTCTAACACCTCATCCACTGCCACACTTCCAGATCTTTGGAAGCACAGCCAAATTCTTCCTTTTGCAGGCACAGCAGCTTGAAGTGCTACTTTCACCAAGCCATCCACTGAGCAGGTCGCCTCAGTTCTGACACACTCTACATTTACAAGAGCAACATGACATTTCCATGACAGTAACTGTGAAAAGCATTACAGGATGATGGCTTATGCACACAGAGCCAAAGTTATTACATGCATTAGCTAATTAGTACTGAATAGACAGGGTTCTAGCTCCAAATGCAGCGCACTCCAGAAGCACAGGCCATTTGGAACAACACACTTCATTCAGAGTCCATATGAATTCTGAACTCATGCCTTGTCCTATTAATCAAGGCTGGAAGAGCTCAGAGCCCAATTCAGAGTGACAGCCTCCACAATGGTTTAGAGACCAGATTTTCTTTGCGGTTTTTGATAAAACCAGCACTGCTGCCAATAATCTGAGGTCACATATGAAAGAACACATTTCAGGTACTGCACAGCCTTTATAAACAGAAACATAACACAGCACAATTAAAATTTAATCCCAAGTTATCAAACTGTGTCATTGAGTTTTACTGTTACTGGTTGCAAAGTACCTCCTTTAGTTTTTACCTGGTAAGAATTTTTCAGACAAAACTGTACTGATTATTTCACTGAAATTCTTACAAAATACTTAAATTTGCAGGCTCTGAAATAAGGGGAGGTCAGGTGTGAGTTCATTTTTGGGAGGTCCTGCATTATATGGTCAGCTCCTGACCAGAAGGGTAGGCAGACCTGCAGCCCTGTCCACCAGACACAAGTGTGGCACACATCCTCTGCCAGGAGCCCCCACCATGCCCAGGGCATCCTGGAGCAAGCACTGCTGGATGCTGCCAAGCCTGAATGTGTCACTTAACATGGTCCTGGCACAGCAAACAGCAGACGAAGCAGTTGCTGCTGATTCATCTTTCATGTTTTATTTATTTAAGCTGTCTGTGTTACATCAGCAGCAACTTTCTGCTGAAGCACCAAGCCCTCTTCAATCAGCAGCAGGCAGGTAGAGGCGTCTCCAATGAGCTCATTAGCTGCTGGAGCCCCGGCAGTCAGCTCTGCCAGGTGCACAGCAGAAAAGGGGACACAGCCCCCAGCTCTGAGAGCCACCATCCAGGGCCTGCCCACACTCTGAGGCAGCAATGTCAGATGCTGCAAACTGTTGAGAAGGATGGTTCTGCTAAACAGGCACTGCAGACTGACTCTGCTCTAACCCAGATACCTGAAGTGCATTAACTCTACTAATTACAACATTGTTCTTCAGGAGAAAAGAGTTCCCAGCGTTTTGATAAGCACAAAAGGAACCCCTGAATGGTAAAACTTCCAACCCAAAGAGCAGCACATCAGAGGGAGAGAAGCCTCTCACCTCCCTTCCTCCCAGATGAGGGAACTGAGGCCCCTTAGCCCCCAGATGCCCCCAGCACGGAAGCACATCATTTATCCCATGAGGTCAAGAGGACTGAGGGAAGGGGAAGCTTTTGCTGTAATTTATGCCTCATCAATACAAAGAAAGGACTCCCAAACCACGGTGATCCCAGGGTTCCTGCCAAAAATCCAACAGGCACCACCTGAGTGTATTCACACCATCTCTGCAGCCAGCAGCTACTCCTGTCCTGCCATTATTTCTGACAATTTCAAATTTTAGGTAGCGACTGATAAACCTAATACTCAAATCAGCACAAACCTATTTAATAGCCTTCCTGACTACTCCAGGGCTGCTATTCCTGCAGCTGCACATACTTCAGGATGAAAACCACAATTATTGTCCATCCGTCCCAGGAAGCGATATTTCCCATAGCTCTGGAGCTTTACTTTAATCAAGATGCAGGCAGGGAAGCAGATGGAGTAAAGGTCAAATGGGGGGAACTGGCAACCCCCAGCTCTACTGCCAGGACCCGTGAGCAGCCCCTGAAGCTGCCATCACTTTTCTGTTCCTGTCACAGTGAAAGCACAAGTACAGAATGGTACTTCCAGACCCTGCCAGCTGAGCGGCCGAGAATATCCAAAGCGCGACCAAAAGCAGGATTACCCACTAGATGGAGTGCATTCATTGCAGAAGTCAACAGTTCCTCCAGAAAAAAAGAAAGTTTTCACAGTAGCCTCAACCAAAAACACAGCAGAATGCATGAAGCTCTTGCTGCACACGGTCTCCTCTCCTCCACAGAAAGTGTGGGCAGACAACTGCTGCTAATCACGAAGTAACTCGTACTTAATAGTCAGACCAGATTACAAGAATGTGGTAGCATATGCACAACGTGGGCACATTTTCAAGAATCAGCACCAAAACCAACAAAGCAAGCAAGCTAAGCCTGCAATAAAATATCTGTGATGTCCCTGGATTCAGAAACCAACATTCTCTTCACCACCACTACCTACATTGTCTGTTTCTTGAGGAATTTGGGTTACACATCAATCAGGACCATGAGTGTGCAGCACTCATTGCTGCAGCAGGTAATGAGGGTGAGAGGCTGCTAAAATGCAAACGTTCCCTTCTGTGCTTCTTTTATTGCAGAAGATTTTGTCAGCAATTTCTTTCCACGAGAAACACACACAACATGCAAATATTCTGCAATTGCACTTTGCCTCCTTACTCACCCGAACTCAGCAGAACGCCTGCTTGAATTATAATTGGCTCCATAAAATGAATCATCATGTGGGTAAGCACATACCAGGCACAGATGCAAATCACACAGACACTCAACAAATGGACTTACATTCTCTTTCGAAAATGATCTGGTGAAGCACAGGTACCGTGTGACCTTGGATTTAAACAAGCCATCTTTCCACAGGTCAGCATCCAAGCCATCTGCTGTTTGTGCAACCTGCAAAGAAGAGACAGAGGGAGAGAGGAGACATGTGAGCCAAGATAAAGTTAATACATGTGCAGTACTTCTTCCTCAGACCTCTCCTAATTAACAGCAGCCCAAACTTTCACAGCATCTCATTAGTTTCTTCACAAGGTGCAGTGCAAAGAACTTTCAAGAGGAGGTATAAAAAGAAGTTCTAAAAATGCTGTCTCTCAGGAGACCCTTGATTAAAGATGCTCTGACAAAGGCTACTCTAATGAGGAAACTGCAACTTCAGTTACAGTCTCCAAACAATAGTTTGGAAAAGTCAGCACATTGAGGCATTCATTACCACTCTACACACAAGGGCACACAGGGCGAGCTGCGAGGGTCCGTGGAGACAGAGCACAGAAACTGACCCATCCCAGGACTATTTTCATGGAAAGCCAAGGAATTCTGGCTCCCAGGTCAAAAGCTGCTTCCAAGCAGGTTGGGGAATCCCTGGTTGCTGGTGGGTTTTAGCAGCAGGGCTGCATGTGAGGCCAGACCCTGCAAATGTCCCCCTCCAATGCAACCCCACACCCAGCCAAACTGATATCGAACGATGGTGCTGGGTAAGGAAACAGACCCTGGACCCTCCACAGGAGAGACAGCACGATGTGCAGGAGAAAATCTCACTGCTAGCTGAATCAAGGAGTGGGCAGGAGGCAGCACCATGCACTGGGGAAGGGCTCTACTCTCAGCAGCTGGGCACTCACCACACACAGAGCAAGCTGGTAAGAGCCCTGGCCCCAAAATGCTTGTTGTAAGAGAGGAGGCAAGAAGGCAAACACAAGCAGAAGAGTAGAAGAAACAAGATTACCCCATCAGACTAACACCCAACTGGCACCTCCAACAGGAGACTCCAGCATGTTCTGAAGCTCCACAGAAGCTGAACTTCTGCCTAATGCCTCTCAGAGGGGGCAAACTGCTCCACAGCAGCTCTTGCAATCACACCGAGCCAGCCCTCGGCCCCAGAGTGGCCTGGAAACAAAGAGCTGACACTTGTCACCTTTGCACCCGTGTTCAGCTGGGCAGGGGCTGCGCCGGGCACGGGAAGCCAGAGCTGTGTGCTGACAAGGCCTCCATTACCCCAAGGGCAGCAGATAGGCAAGAGACAGTCTGAACAAAGCGGCAAAGTGCACTGACTGCTCCCTGAAGTTTGGCAATGCTGCTCACAAGGGGCCCAGCTCAGGCCAAGCCATTGTACAGCACACACAGCTTTTGTGTTCAGGCTCTGCAAAGAAACGCGCCTGATTTTTAAACAGCTACATTTTAAAATAGGATTTCAGCAAAATTTTTTGGTTATTTGAATTCTTTGAATTCAAATCTTTCCTAAACTGATAGTTTAGGAATATGTAAAATCTACAGGCATCTTCCTCTGTGATGATAAGTCAGTCCTAGTGAAAAGGTATTCAGGAAACAGTCAGTTTGGGAAAACTGCTGGCATACAGGGATGGTTAGCTTGAACTCCAAGCCAGGAGAATGTAAGCATGAATGAACTTGTCAGAAAACTCAGGGGAAAGAAAACAGAGCCATATAAACAGGAAACTTCTTGCATCACCTGCTGGGCTCCTGCAAGCAAGGAGAAGCCCAGCAAATCTCAAAGCAGAGCTGTGCCTGGTCAGCATGCCCTCAGGACAGGAGCCAAGTGGGAAAGGCCCCAGCAGACCAGGCCAGCAGGACAGGCACTCCACAGCCCCAGCCTGCCCGGCCTTTCCTTGGCTGAGAGGCAAGGAACGTGCGAGACAGAGGATCTGTCCCAGCTGGCACTGGGCACAAGGAATGGTCCTTCTCCTCCTGAGGCTGGGGAGACACTCCTCACTGTGTGCTGCAAACAGATGGACTTGACAGAGCGACACCCGGCAAGGTGTGAGCCCCAGTACGTGCAGGGTGATCTACCTGCTGCACACACTCAGGATGGGGTTACTGCACCGGTCAGGTCTTTGACAAGCGGGTCCTTTAAACCTGGTCTGCCCCTCTGGCAAGTCAGGGCTGCTCCTGCTGGGTCTGCAGCTTGCTCAGGCACTGCCCCAGAGCAAACCCCACCGTGGGGCTGGTGCTCAGCCTGCAGCAAAGAACACAGCTGCACAGGAACCACACCTCCCTCCTGCCCCAGGCTCCTGCCTCCCACCTCTCCTCCCCACCCAGACACTCAGTCTTGCCAGTTTGGTTGGATTTTCAGGAATCTAAGTTCAGACACTCTGCATATTTTGGCAAAATCAAGTCTTTGGTGCTTTAGCTGTGAAAAGGCCTGGCCAGTTATTCCAAGCGCCAGTAGTGCATTTGTTTTCTAAGCAGACACAAAGGCAATAGAGATTATGGAGTAACTAAAGCACTACAGAGGAAAAAAGGCCTCTGTCCCTTTTGCCAGGACATCCCCCCAGGCACTGCTGCCTGCCATCTCCAGCTGGGCAGTAGGCTGAGCCCTGGGGCTCCATGTGAACCTGGGAAATAGACCTGGACATCTATAGGCATTTAATTTACACCTGGGATGAAGAACCCATGCTCCTGGAGACTTCTTTCAAAGAGAACAAAAGGGAAAATGAAGTTGTTAGTTGGAGAAGGATAAAAATGAAAGGGAAACTGGTAAAGCCTATAAATAACAAAGGTGAATCAAAAAGACCTGGTTACTTCATTGCAAAACTTGAAACCATCAGTGAAACTACATGAGAAAATACTTCCCCAGTGGTAAAGCCACTGGATCCCTAAGGGGACTACAATACCCCAGGAAACACTGCTGTAAATGCTTCCCAAAAGATGAGAGTGGCTCTCCTTTCCAGGATGCAGTGTGCACCTCTTACCATGAGGGCTCTAGGGAGCACACCTCTGGAACCAGCTGCCACAGCTGCCTTCCTCAAGGCTTCACAGCAAGCAGCCGCCAGTGCCTCATTAAGGAAATTGCATACCTGCAGAAACACAGATCCCCAGACCACCCAGCTCTGCACACTGCCCATGTCTCAGAACACCATTTCTCTGCTGTGCTGAGCACTGCACTTGTGTACCTTCAGCTTCACACTTTTGGGGGGCCAGACCAGGTTCCAGAGAAGTCACGGAGAAGTGGCAAAGCAGCACAGCACACAATTCTCCAGCGCACTGACTCACAGACCAGCCACCTTCACAAACGCCCAGGCAAGAGCAGCACACTCGTGCATGCCACTGTCCCTTCACATCATGTGGCACCCAGCATGGCCCCTTGACAGCAGGCGCTGCACAGGGGCCAGGACACCAAGGGTGGCTGCAGCACCCAGGCACACTGCTGGGGTGGCAAACTGGCGTGTAAAGTGGCGTGGCAGCCGTGCTGGGGGAAGGACAGCACACAGCAGGCTCTGCCCCACGCCTGCTCCAAGGGCAGACAGAGCTCCTTGCGAGCAGACAGGGAGGCAGCAGAGCCAGAGCAAAGGCAGCTCCTCACTGTGCCCTGAGGAGATGGCGACCCACATTCACCAGCATTACACCACCACTATAATTGGATTACGCCACAGGAAGACTCTTTTATCTTGTTTAGTTTAAACTGCGTTAGCGCTGCAACTCCCCATTAAGCCACAGGCAGGCTATCTGGGGTGAGCGTGCTCTCTGCCCAGCCATTTAGGCAAAGTGCAATTCTGTTATCACAAGTCTCACACTGTCCCGTGCTTCTTTATCAGGGCAAGCAGCTAATTACACAGCCTGGCTCACACAGGTAATGAGCACTTGGAAAAACACAGTAAATGTAAAAACCTCCCAGGTCTTTAAGGAGCTTTTCCACAATGCTCCCCTTGTGTCCTTACTTCAGCCTGATCCATTTTGTTTCTTCAGACTGAACAAGGTATGAAATCATCCAGAGCTGAAGAGGTGTGAGCAAAGCTCAGGTCAGCTGGCTTCCACTCCTACCATACAAGCTGTGAGGCTCTGGAAACCCAAGGTGTGATATAACACAGTTGGAGCACAACACACAGAAAGGCGAGCAGATGAACTACAGACCAAATCTTTCTCTATAGATCTCTGCAAAGTCAGTATTTTATATTCCACAGTTTGGGACACTGATCTATGAGTAGAAACATCCTGCTGTTGGTTACACAGCAACTAATCCGAGGAACAAGCAGCTGTTGAACAGCAACCTCCCTTTATCTGTTCACACATTCGTCTACCCTGTACCCAGCTGCCTTTTCCTGCTGCCATTCTCCTGCCAAACCTTAGTTTAGAGGTTTGCATTCCGCCTGTCAAAATCATCCTTGCCATTTCAGCTGGATGCAAGACTCTTTGATTGCCTTTCTGGAGTTTCTCATCATCATTGTGCAATGCTGATATGTGGGATTAAACAGCTGACGCGGGATCCATTTATTTAGAGATAGAATTTGTACAATACTTAGGACTCCTTCAGGATGAATGTTAGTAGGATTATTAAATTTGCTTGCCATTGTGGCCAGCTGTTTCAGTAAACCCCTCCTCCAGGAAATTCAGCTTCTCTGGAGTGGCAAAGATGAAGAGGCAAATTTACACCCACAACCCTCTGCTGAAGGCAAGCACTAAGTGCTGTGGGCTGAAAGGTGGGCAGCTGACTACCAAATGACTGCTCGCAGCCCAGTTCAAAGGCATGTTCTCTCTGTGCTCCCACCACAGTAAAGGCTCAGCAGCGCAGCACCAAAGCATTGAGAGCAGCAGCTCAGAGCTGTACTTACAACGTCATATCCAGTGGGTGCTCGGCTGCGGGACGCCAGCACGCCCACGCCGGTGATGGGATCCATCGGCAGCTCGGGCAAGGCATCCGAGAGGTCTCGCACCTCAGGCATCATGGACTGCTCCTGCAAGAAAGCAGCGGATTAAAGGGCTGCCTGCTGGGCACCACACCCCAGCAGGAGCCAGAGAACCAAGAGCACACATGCATGCCACAGTGCCTGTGCTGACACACCACAGACGGCCAAGGTAAACACAGGATTAGGCCAGACACACCTTCTGCACTTTCATTTGCTTTTGATAAGAGAGTATACTTGTGGGCATTACTCTGCAATGCCAAATAGGTTTGAAATTTGAGCTGGCAGCCTCTGAGACTCATTTTGTTGCTTCCATGGGCTGGTCTCCATCTAGCAATGACAGGAAAACCAAAGCTCAATCCCTTCTCTTCCAAAAAGAGAACAAATTTCATCCCCAAGCCAGGCTGGTGGAAGCAGCTCTGTCGTTTTAAACAGCAAGAAATCTGCTCCTAATGGCTTTAGAGGGAGGTTCCCCATCCACTATGGGTGTTAGGACATGCTGGGGGTTCCCCTTGAGTCCTCAGTCCCATCACACGCCCGTCAGCCAGGCTGATTTCAAGGAGCAGCACAGATGTCTCTGGCGCTGGATGCAGAACCGCACTGGCTGCAGGGAGCCCCAACACCAGGAACACAGAGGAAGCACAGGGTGGGCTGGCACAAAGCAGAGAGGCCTTGAGGAGGCCCGAGCATCTTCCCGAAGAGACACATCACCGAGAACGTCACGGGAGGGAGATATGCAAAAAGGACAGAAGCGGGTAAGACCAACTAATTTCGGAGGGATGCTGCTGCAGGAAGCAGGAGGAGAGGACAAGAAAGGGGCTGAAACAACCGAGGTGAAGGATGGGGAAAGGTGCCACTGCCTCAGCGTGTGGCCTCCTGCAGAGGCAGCCAGTTAAAGCAAGTCTTCTCTGGCTTTCAGGCAGGAATGCCCCAGGAAACCGCCCCCCACGCACCCCAAGACAAAGGGCAGTGCTTTGTGGAAACAAGCATCGCTGCTGCACAGCCAGACAAGCCGTGAACCAGAGCTGCCTAATTCAATTCCCTCCTCAGAGCAATCAAACCCCAGCATTTCTAGGCCATTCAGATGGCTGGTTACTTACTGCTTCTAGAAAAGGCAGAGGTGAGTACTGGTGCCAGTGGAATTGGGTTTACACTTCACAATGCCCAGTCTGAACAAACATCGTGCTGCAGGCAATAAAAAAGAGCAAGTCTGGGCCCTAAGTAAATAATAATAATGTTACATGAACAGCCAGACTACTTGAGGAGTCCAAAACAGGCGCTAGCCACCAGCAGTGGTGCAAATACTATTGCTGAAGAACCAAACAGGAGAGAGCTCTGCTTTAGCACCAGCGTGCTGGACACGCATCCAGCACACAGAGCAAAGCAAACCCTCTTCACTCCCAAAGCAGCTCAAACCTTCGAGCATGATGCAGCCTGAGCCCCAGAGGCTCTCCCAGCAGGCTCCCTTTCCTCGGGGTGGGCGAGGAGCACAGGACCCTGCTGCAGGAATGCTGGGGGCACTGGCACAGCCATGACAGACCCTGTGCCACCGCACAGCTCATCCAGAGACCTCGCAAATCACACAGAACCTCAAACACACAGCGTGTAAGAAACATAATGTGAATTTAACAAAGAGCTTACAATCTGCTCTTCGCGAATGTTTTCTGAAACTTCAAGTCACTCAATAGTCTGGTGACTTCTTACTACACATTGGGAGGAGCTGGTAGGTAATGAATGCTGACGTAAGCTTCTCTTGGGCCATTTTGCGCTGCAATCCAGGTAAGTGATGATATTCCCCAGCGTGTTAGGAGCACCACACGGCAGGCTCCC